CCCCCCCCACCTTTTTAATATCTGGATGTATAGAGTGGAACCGAAATGGCGCACTGAGAGTTTTCTAAATGCATAAAAAGGAGGTGGTCTTGGATATAATCAGTATAGTTTAGCTCATTCTGTAGAATACTTACTTTTATGTTGCATGTAGTTTATTTTGCCCATCCTTGCCTGCCCCCCACCCTCGCAAATGCATGGGCTTCATAGGCAAGAGTTTTATCTTCATTTTTATATGCCCCTCTCCTGTAGTGAGTTGTAACCTTATGCTAGCCATTCAATCAACATGAATATATCTACCTTTCTTCATTAGGTGAACGGAAGAGTCCTTACGTTGCAGTATGCTGTATTGTGATGGCCTTCAGCATCCTCTTCATACAGTAGCTTGGAAAAATGCCAGAATTCAATTGTCATCAGATTGATTTCGATAAGAAAAAAAGGACTTACCTGCAGAAAATAACGGAATGAATGGTTAACCCTTTTATCTCTGAACATTGAATGACAAATTTCCAGCTGCTATTCTCTATTTTTGTTATTGGACCAATGTTCTATATAAATAATTAGGATGTAACCATCTACTACTTAAAGAGTTTAAATATGTCTGTAACAGTCAACCTCAGTACTGTCACTACAATATCACATTCTGCATATGTCAGTCTGTTGTGTCAGATACCGGTTTTTGATGAGGTGTCTTTAAGGCACATAGTAGAAAACAAAATCGGTAAATTACTCAAGTTCCTTTCACTGTGATTTGGAAATGATAAATCTTTATAGAATGAGAACTTTTTTTGGACTAGCTTTTTTGTTAAAAAAAAAAAAAGGTTCAATTTGTGTGGGTAAAGATTGCATTCATATTGCATAAGGCTTGCTTTTCCCCTGGCCACACCATTTCAAGCATTAACCAGAGTACCTCTACTCTTAGCAAACTAGTTTATTACAGATGTTTAAACTATTTAAAACAAGCCTATGTAGTTCTTAAGGAGGAAGAGAAAATGAGATGACTTAAAAGTAGTATTGAGGAAATGTTCCTATTTAACATCAAAGAATTTAGAGTATCTGACTGGTGGTGTAGCCTCTGAAACCTCTCTGGTAAAGTATAGATAAATGTCTTAAGCATAAATTTGACCAGCTAACTGTCATTCTCTGAATGAGATTACATGCTTAGAGTAAAAAGAACAAAACAGGACAACTAGAGAATGATAATCCTGTATGTGTTTTCATTCTTTTTACTGTCAGGTCTTCACATTTTAATTACTGCAAAATACAAACTGTATGTGTTTTTTTTTTAATACAGCACTTTAAATCTAGCTTACGTTTTGTCTATTAACTTGAACTGGAATCTTTTGTGTAACTTAGTAAATGATGATAAACAAAAATTCAAATCTACTTACCCGTATACCATGACATAAATATCCTTGGGCTTTGATGATAGAGGAAGACCTTCAATAATTTTCATCGAGGCAAGAGAAGTGTTGGAAATATGACTTACAAATTTTGTAGTAAAGCAGTTATTATACATTTATGGTTAACATTTCTTAAGAACCAAAATAGAACTTCTTAGCTAAAAGTTGCCCACTATAGATAGTATTAATTAGATACTGTTCTCAGCTGTTAATTTACCTATAAAGGTAAAAAGATAAAAAGAATAAACCTTGTTTTTTTAAAGAAAAAAATTGTTTAGAATTATTTTTAAACGAGCCTGCCAGTAGCTTTTTCTGCAGAAACAAAGTATGGAACTAAAAGTTACCTATTTTTAAAGACCGCTTTAAAGTACTTGGAAAGAATTTTAGGAAACATCCAAGAAAAGCTTATTGTAAGCCTGCTCTTTTTTTTGCAGAAGATAAAAGCTACTATAGGCTGTCAATATATTTGTTTACTGTACATTGTTGGCATATCTATAGCTGGTTATAAGTGGTATATTTTGCCTTAGGCAGGTAATCGGTTATGATCATTTTTCCTACTCTGAGCTGTCTCTGGGGCTTTGCATTAGGTCAAGGACTTTCAGGGTAGCCTCAAAACAGGACTCCCTTATCAGCATATACATGCAGAGTAAATCACCTTTCTCGGTCTAGTTTCCAAGTGGCCATCTGCTGTCCAACTCTGCTGCCAACTAGACTTCCCAAAAGCTATATCAACTCATTTTTTTTTATATGCTAACACAAATCTAATATGAAAAAGGGAAGCATATGTTAGTCAGTTCTAGGATAGTACTAGTAGCCGTTTCAGGAGGAGTAGATGGAAAGTAGAGGAAGAAATAACTCCTTTGGAAAATTCGTGGTAACACATGAAAAATTTTACTGTGTGTAGATGCTGAACAGAGTGGGAGGCAGCTAATTTCTGACCCAGACACTCTGACCTTTTGAAACACAAGTTCTCTGGGAGGTGGGGAGAGACACGGGATTCTGTGACGAAAAGCAATTAGCATTTTCTTTACTGTATTTTTTTTTCTTAAGAGTTACCACTGCATCCTATTCTCTAACCCAAAGGGCAGTGTAGGTAGTTAAAACTACAGAATACAGAATATTCAGATATTCCTTTTGTGGTCTTAGTGGGGTGGTAGGATGCAGAAGGGGATTTAAATTGATCTTGACCATCTGCCTCTGTCACAGTATTGGTGCAGGGTGGATGGCGGGCACTGAAGTCCACAGCTTGCGAGATTCAAGTATTCTCCCTTACCTCCTTCCTGGCTCCAGAATCTTGTGATTCCACCTTGCCTGGAATTTGTTTTGTGCTGATATTTAGTTCCTGATTGTCCTTGGCTGTGCCAATGGCAGGAGCATGTCTTCTTTTGAGGCAGTCTTAAAAGATGGTCAATCAAAGGGACACATAGTCTGTTGAATTCCTTCTGTTGCTTAAACTTTAGATTCAAGTTCAGTATCTGGTTAATGCCGGTGCTGCTGTGCCAGGCACTGCTATCCTGAACACTCTTTACACAGTCAAATTCAAAATAGACCTTTTATGCCAGGGAAAAATAGTAATATATAATTTGTCATAGATTCCATCATCTTAGTAATATGCGGGTCAGTCTGGTTCTAACCTAAGACAAAATAGAGATTTGAATGAAATAAATGTCTCCAAGGTCAAAGTCAAAAATGAACAGATCTCTGCCTAGTTTTGTGGAAAAGACCTAGCACTTGTAATTAGAATATTTCTATTTCACCAGTTTTAAGAGGCATTTATAAGAATGCATTTGATATATTATCACTGAAGATAGAAAGACAAGTACACAGTTTCTTCCCTCAAGTGATTCATAATGTAGTGGGTGAGAGGAATGAAGTTATATGAAGTGCAATGTGATAGCATTTATTACTGAGCTAACACCAGGATTCTAGACGAAAATGACAACTCAGGAGTATGAACCTCCTTCCAGAGAAGCAATATTTAAACTGCATTTAAGAGCAGTATGCAAGAAGGACTAGAGGCACATTATGGACCATCAGTACCTAGCTTGCCGTGCCACTTGAGGGGTACGGTTGAGCCTTGAATGGCATGGGTTTGAATTGCGTAGGTCCACTTACATGTTGGGTTTTTTTAATAGTAAATGCCACAGTACCACACAGTTCCAGGCTGGTTGAATCCGTGGCTGTGGAACCATGGCTATGGAGGTCTGACTAGAGGATATACATGGATTTCAGACTGCACAAATGATCAGCACTCCTAACCCCTATGTTGTTCAAGGGTCAGTGGCCTTCAGACATAAGCCTAGAAAGGTGGAGAGGTTAGATCCTAGAGTCTTGTATTTTTCTCATTACTATCTATTACCTACCTCAGAATTGAAGCTGAGTATGTTTCCTCCTGACCCCCCAAAAAAAAATTCAATTAAAAAAAAATCCTTCCTTGGTGTATGTATAAACAAAGTTGAATGCCATGCCAACCTTATTTTGGATCAAGAATACAAGAGTATCCTCTCCAAAGATGCCTGTGTGGCGTATAAAGCTGAGGTAACTAACCAGTCAGGTCACGTATTTTTAGGAACTCTTAGTAACCCATATACTTACTGTCAGAGTAGCCAGGATCGTTAAAGTGCACATGTGCACAAGAAACGGTGGTTCCAATTGTCTTCATTGCCTGGGTGCACAGAAAAGATTTCCAATAAACAAGGACATGTGCTCCTTTCAAAGCAGAAACTTTGAGAAGTTACTGAGTCATAGGAAGCTAAAAACAAGAATGGAAGATTCTTAGGGACCCCTCTCTACTTTCTTTGGTGTTCAACGGCAGTAGATGTTCAAAATGTAAGTAGCTAAGTGACGACAGCAGCATTGTGAATACTGCACAGTCTGGTTATTCCCAATCAGCAAATTACTACTAGCTTCCCCCCAAAAAAGCTTAATAATTCTGTCATTTATACACTGCCTCCCATGGTTTCTTTTACTTTGCCCTAAACCAATTCCAAAATGGTAATCTGAAACACCATTCCAATATCAGAAAGAAGAGGAGAGGGGAATGTGTATTTCCTGTGGTTTTCAGAGTACGAGAATCATCCCACTCTGGTTAGTGCACATGTCTGGTGTGTAATAAAAATCAAAATGAACTCTCAAGAGCTCCCTAGTTTTGTCTTCCTGTCAGATGAAAGTTTTTTTAGGGGTTAAAAATGGAAATTGCCATCTTTTGAGTAAGATGGGAATTAGAGAAATGTTTCCCTTTGTTTTACCTGCATTTTAATTCATGGCTGGTCAAGGTTAGTTTGGGGAAGTTTCTATGTTGATATTGTTTGGCATCTTAGAGCTATTCAGTCCACTATATTGCTTTCTTTGAGCCTTCACAAGCCTAGCTGACTTGCTTAAGTTAGGAAGTCATGAAACAACCACTCCCGCCCCCGAGATGGTAGAAATCTGATTCTGAGTGAAAGGGACAATTAATTGTTGACAGTGACTTTCAATCTGTCTTCAACTGAGAGCCTTCAGATGCCCAAACATTCTGGCAAGTAGCTATCACAAAAATCTGTGAGCGGTGTCCATCAGAGTCAGATTATTCAACCAGTTTGTACCATTTATTGGGAAATAAGAAAAAGCTTCTATGTGCCTTGCTTTGGATTAACAAGGTCTTTCTACTGTCATCTTCCCAGATTAAAACAGACAAACCTTTGTTAGACCTGTTACTGGAAAGAATTGACTTAACCAGATGAATTTCAGCAAGTATTTCAGTTTTGAACTCAAAGTATTTCAGGTATAAACAGAAAAACAGTGTCTTAGCTATAGCCTTCAGTGTGTACTGTAAACCCCTCACTGCTCCATTCTGAATACCAGTTGATGTGAGACTATAATCACTGAATTTCTGATTTCTAACTCAAGTCAAAAGAATTTAAAATGCTTTGCTCGAGACCACTGAGCTTAACATAGTAGCAAAGCAAAATCTGTTTTCGTTTCAGAGGGTTTGCCTTAATATCCTTAATCGTAACAGATTTACTGGGGAAAAAAAAAGAGAAACATGAACATTGGAAATAAGGGTAAGTCACTTCACACACATTTTGTGGAGGATGAGAACATTCAAGAACTAAAAACTACCCAGACACTACTACTGTTTGAGCTTTCTTTGGCAAGGGAAGTAACCTAGGAGCACTTGTGTAATAATTGAGGGTTTGTACCCAAATTGCCAAAACGTATAATTTATGAGCCACTTCAACATTTCTGATCAAGTACTATGTCTAGGCTAAATGCTGGAAAAATAATGTGCAAAGATATTAAGCTGCTTAAGAAGAAATAAATACACATTTAAGGCATGAAGGATTTCAAGAAGGAATATTTGCAGTAGTGAAGTTTTAAAGAAAAGTGACCTGCAGGCCCAGGGTAACCCCAAAACCTTGGGAACTGAAAGTTAGGAAGACAGAGCCCCCTTTCAATATCATTTCATTAGGGCCCTTGAAAAACAAAAGGTAGGATTTTCCTTTTGATTTTATTTAATAAAAATATTATTTATACTTTGCTTACTTTTTAGCTAATGTTATTCACAAATGGAGGAACCTCTATTAAATCTTGGAAAATGATGAGAGTACTTTGACTTATAAAATATGTTTAAGAAGTTTACAGTATGAAATTAAGAGAGCTATAGAACACAAAATATAGAGTAATAAAGTTGGATGAGTTTTTGAAAATTCAGTTTTATGACTATGTAATCTGAACCTCATTCAGATCTCCCTGTTAATGGGTCACTGCTCTGAACCCTAAGTGAATAAAAGCGAAAATAACATAGTAACATAGTTCTAAACCCATACAGGAAATTGCATTCATACTACTGGCAACTCCAATACTACTGGAGTTGCTTTTATTTTTTAAAATATTACCAATCACACGCATCTTTTCAAAGAGGTGTAATCGAATCTATTAATACTTAGAAATTGGACACACAAAACTATTGAGATGGTTCCTGAATCCCCAGGTAATTAGTTTTACTTGGAATGAAGAACAGAAATAAGGGTAGAATTCAGGATAATCCTTGTGCCCCCAAGGCATGGAAAATTAATTCCTGTGACATGGCTGCCCCACAAGGTCAGTTCCTCCATGTCTCCCTTTCTAATTCTAGAAGAATCCTTTGAGACCTAGCTGTGTGCCAAACACAGTGCCAGGGTCGGTGTACAATGCAGAACAAGACATACAGCTCCTGCTGTCACAGAATCTAGATTCTAGTGAAGACCAACTAACCAGAATACTTGTTGTATGCAATCTCTAGTAAGGCCCTTCCTTGAGGAAACCAAACAAAGGATGATGTAGATGGGGTGTCCACAGAAGGCCACTGCATGAATGGATGATTAGGCTACAACCTGCAGACGAAGAGATAGTGAGCCAAGAGGCAGAGGGAACTCAAGGACCCAGAGATGGTAAAGAGCTCGGGACTTCAAGTGGTGGGGAAACGGACAGGAAACTAGCATGAACTAGGTGAGACACAGAATGATGTAAGTTGGATAGAAAAATGGGCCAAGTTATGCAATGGTCTGAGCCATTGAGAAGACTGGCAGACTCAGACAAAGGATGAGTTTTTATTTTTTAATTGGAGCAGATACGGTATCTATGAGGCTGTCCTCACACTTCATATTGGAACTGAAATCCACACGGCAGGAAATTGGGAAAAGAAGGCTAGAAGCTTCAGGATGGACTGAAACCCACGTCGGTTATTGTTGCTATGACCTTGGTGCTGTGGATGTTCTCCAAAAAGAAGCCAGTGCTCTTCACCTTGGAGCTAAACACATCTGGCTCAGAAGTTAGAGAAACTGAAGGAGAAAGTGGGAATGGTTGTAGGCCCAGCCATCACCTCACATTAACAAAGTTAGTACAAGGTGACGACGTGTATCGGCTACCAAAATGGTGGATGCTTCACTCTGCCCTCCAAATTGCACACAAGACTCCTGCAGCCCACTCTAACCAAACCTTACAGGAAACCACTCTAGGAAATGAAGGTCGGCCTAACCAAGTTGACACATTACAAGGGCATCAGCCCCTCTTAAGAATCCCACCTGGGTTGCCTCCCAGCCAGCTGACCTTAACATACCAAGCAAGACTAGTTATCCCTTCTAAATCTGCTGTGCTCTCTGGATTTCCTTATTTTTGTAAACAGTACAACTTTAATTCTATGACCAAAACCTTCTAATCCCCTAAACTCCTCTCTTCTTGCTCATATCCCTCCCTCGCTCCCACTGATCTATAGTTTAGTTCTATCATTTTTTACCTCTGCAGCGCCTACCCCAGGCATATGAGTTCAAACTCACCAGGTGACTATACCATCCCACACACTGATTTCATATTTAGTTGTATATAAGCCTCATTCTGGAACCCCAGAAGTACAACAAGGGCATTCTCTCCAAAGACACGTACAGGAGAGTGAGTTATGGCAGAGGAGCTAGCATGCTGTTATCATTACTTAAACCAAGAAAAACACACTGTAGACAAGATGAAAGATCTAATAAAAATGTGTTCTTATTCCTGATTCTAAAACTTTTAACAGCTGGGCTTTCCCATGTGGAAGAATGTGACATAAATAACTCAGCCTGGAAGCAGAGGGGCTGTGAGAAGTCCAACAGAATGACAGATGATCTTGGACACTCCAAATATCACACCCAATGGAGTTACAAGGAAATAAGTGGTCGGTGGAAGGTACTGATGAGCTCGTGCTGGTATGATCAGCAGACTTTACAGAACCTGAGTCATGTACCACTAATTCTACAGAAGTTTTCTTTCTACTTGAACTTGTTAACACTCTAATCTATTCCATCAGAACTTTCTCTGCTCCATCCAGATTTGTCATCTTTTAATTAGTCATGGAAATCTAGGGAAATAGACTCTCAGAGAATGAACTTGTTGAGATTTAAAACTGAAATAAACTCAATTCTTACGTTTAATTTTCTTTGAAAGGGGACAAATATCGCCGAGGACATCCTATTTAGTATCCTCGTCCATGGCATCTGGGAGTAGCTCATGTTACTGTTCCTATTCCGACTTCTTCCTTCCACCGAAGCATACATAGTCACAGGTGTGGCACAGATGCCAAGAGGCACTGTGAGAAAACAGGAGTGAGAAACAGAAAGAACTTAAGCCTAAGAAAGTGAATGCAGTTCTCCTTTTCCACTTGTATAATGGGGAAGCGGTGAGTCAAGAGCTGCCATCCGTATGATACAGAGTAATAGATACAGAACTGTGGGGCAAGTCTCCTCATCTTTCTCACATTTGGGTTAGATGATCTCTCAAAGCCTTTCCAACTCTAAAAACTGATGACTGTCCTGTATTTATAGTACAAGTTGTTCTTCACTGGCCCCCACTTATATTTCTCAGCAGTTGCTTCAACATAGACAAAGAGCTCTTAGAGAGCGAAGATTCATCTGTTTTCTTTTTTTCTCCAGGCATATTCTTGGAAATCCCACTGTGGTTGGAAGTTCTACTTTGTGAAATGTACCCAGGAATTCACCTTGCCAGAAATTCTGTGAGGGCTCACTTAAATCATTGTAAAGAGTTACAGGAGACATTCTGTGATTACATAAGTGGTTATTTCAGTAGGAAATATTTAGACAGCATGTGCTTGTTACTCCTTTTTTTTTTTTTAAAGCTAATCCTGAGATTAACCTTATCTAAAAATTTTAGCAACAATCAACTCACCCATTGGCTACACCATGCAAAGGAAAATGTCCACATCAACTGGAGAGGAGAAAAAAATAAAAAGAAAATTATTTCTAGGCCTTTAATTCCCCTACTCTCTGCCCGCCATATGTTTTTACTCACGATGATCCAAACATGCTAATGTAGCTGCTTCTTACCTCTGATCACCCAGCACAGTGTGAGTCACTAAGCAGGGGATGCTTCTATTTTCCACTATTGATTTTTCCTTCTAACAGGATGGTGACCTCTGAATGGCAAGTCTTGTGCTTGAGAGATGGTGTAATGATCCCCTTCTGAATCATATGGGAGACAAAATTCCCTGGCACTTTAAGTTTCATACCTAAAAGTAATTTAAATTTTTTCTCACTACAAAATTTAAATCTTTGAATTACAGAAAAAATAGAAAATGCAAGTACATAAAAAGAAAAAAATTTTTTCCGGTAATCCCATCAGTCCAAAACAACCACTATCAACAATTCATGTAAAGATATCCATGTAAAGACAAAACATGTATTTTTATAAAATAGGATAACATAGCACATGCTATTTTATAGCCTCTCCATTTAATAATATATCATGAACATCTTTACACAAATGATAGATTTTGGCTATTATACTATTTTTAAATAATTGGAGAGTATTCTGCTATAGAATACAACATAATTTATCTAACCTATAGTCTACTATTGGACAATTAAACTGTTTCCACTTTGGAAATGATATATTTAAAAGGACAGCATGGCACAAATCACATTAGTGCCTCTATGGTTCATTTATATTACACAGATACTTAAATTAAATGGGTATTCCAAGTTTCTACTTAGCTCTGCATGAGTAGGTCTTTTGTTCAAGATAAAGTCCATGTAGGCAAAAGAGTTGACTGCTTACTTCTATTTCGAGGGCACTTGGAAATATCTCCCCACTTCACCTCTACCTGTAACTGAAATCACACCCTTTAAAAGCTAACATTCCTATTTTGCCTGTTTTTCATAGAGTCAGGCACAATACATTTTAAATCATCCCCTCCCTCAAGACCACGAGTCTTCAGTGAAGTACCTGCATGCATTAGATGGGGGATCAGCTGCTGAAGCACCATCTGTAAATCCAGCTCTATCAAACACTGCAGGACACTGAGCAAAACAGAGATGTTCCCCAGGCGGGGCAAAAGCAATCAGGCATCTGAGAAGTGAGAGAGACGGAATAACATCAGACACAGGAACCGGAAAAGTGAGCCACAGCTGTGGGAGGGCTGTAGCACACTCAGACTGAGCAAAGCACTCCTGGATACAGCAGCCATCCATCAGACTGATGCCTGAGCTTCCACAGTTTTTCAGTCATTCAGGGTGTAGTGGGGCTATTTCTCTATTTTAATAATGGAAGTTGAGGGGGATCAATCTACAGAATATGTTGATAGAATACATTTATTTGTTTGTTCTACAAAATGTAATAATTACAGCCATTAAATGTTTATTGAAGTAGATTTTCAACATGAAAGTATGCACATAGTATATTAAGTGATAAAAATCATGTTACAAAACACTTTATGGCATGTGATCCCTTAGTGTAAAAAATCCTGTAGGTGTGAATATATATGTGCGCACGCACACACGCACACACACGGATTAATAGGAAAAGAGCTATAAATATACATACTAATATGCTAATAATGACTTTCTCTAGGAGATAGGAATAACAGTGATTTTCTTTCCTTCCATTTTTTAACTCTGCATTTTTATGGTAAACATACATGATAAAATAAATGGCAATAAATGTACATTTGAATTTCATGCTCTTTCTTCATGCTTATATTTTCAGGCCATCAAACTCTTCTTGCAACTTGCTTTATTGATCTTTTCCCCCCTCTTAGTTTCATTGCCATGAGGATATAAAAGGTCTTTGTCATTTTATCTCCAAATCTGTTGCCCTTTTTCCCACTTTCTCCTCCAAGTTTTTTTCAAACTATATGTTTCTTGTGAATTTAAAGTATTTAAGGATGGGCGTTCCTTATTTGCTTCTCGAAATCCAGATTGTGAACAGTATTTACTAAACTTTCATCTATTATGTAAATTCTAAATTCTTTGAAGAAGCACAAATGGACTGAATTTACCTCATAATGCCCTGGCTTCAAGCATTTTCAACCATCAAGAAAAGTAAATCATTTAAATTTAGAACTGACAAGAAACAGACTTGGTTATCTCCAACATATATGCATTAAGACAAGTCTGCCAAGGGTTTTGTGTAAAGACAAAAGATAATAAACTTAAAGTGTATATACTAGTCAATGAAGGTTTTACATAAACACAATGAGTGTGATCCAAGTTCCAGAAATAAATGCTTTGCATTGAATATAAAATTAATGCTAAGTAAATGAGGCTCTGTGTGTGTGTGTGATGAAACTCAATTCTTTTCTCTCTTAAATGAAATGCATCTATCTGGGATTACATGACCTAAAGATGTCAAATCTATTAAAATTTCCTGATTCTCTGGTTTATGACAATGGCAAACACATCTCCATTCACATTACATACCTGATACAACACTAGAGAATTTAGTATTTATTACACCATTAATTATGTATACTTTGAGTCTTTTGAGAAAAAAAATGAAGCATCTGACAAGTCTCAGTAAGACACTCTGAGCGTGAATGATTTTATAGCAGTTATGTAGCTTTGGACTTTTAAAATGTCTTTGTGTAATTCTGTTAATTACTGAAACCAGGTTAATGAATGACATGTTGAAGAAGTCTATTAAATAGAAGTTGTGGCTAATGACTGAAGTCTCCTTTCTCACCTAATGATTCATTCTACCTTCCTCACTAGGAGTTTTTAGCATATCAAAGGGTATCTAAGTATTAACAATTAGATAAGGAATAGAAGTGCTCACAAGGCATAATTTATTCATTTCAGGATTGCTGATTAACGTAATTTACTGAGTAACTTTGATCACTCTGTTTGAAAGATCACCTACTCACTAACCCCATTACTCGTGTGCTGTGTCAAAGTAGGAATCACTGAAAGTTTTCAGAGACATAAATTAAAAATCCTACCTGACACAATGCAGAAATTCTTCTCCACCCCTGCCACCAGAACTGTGGACCCATGAACTAATGTCCCTGCTTCCTCTACTATTGGCTGGTGTCACTGTCTGCTTTTCCAAATCCTCCACTTCCAATGAAATCTAAGGGCTGATTCAGACATAGTTCTTATTTGTGAACAACACATACTGACCCAGACCAAATTAAGTAGAAAATTAATTTCTTGGAAGGATACTAGTTATCTTTAAAATAACCTGAAAGGCCAACAAATCAGGGAAGGCAAGCAATCAAGAAAATAGGGAAACTGGGTAGTTAAAACCTCAGCCAAGTTAATGCCACAGCAGCACACTGAGCCTTGTCGTTAGCACTCCATCACTCATGCCTGAATGCGGTATCTCTGTGGATGAAACAAATTCTTCACTGTCTCTGTTCGTAAGCATCATGGACTACAGATTCAAAGTCCCAGGACTGAGTGTATTGGTCAACTGTTGCCACAGTTGAGCTGCATAACAAACCACTCCAAATTTCAGTTCTTTATAACATCCCAGGAGCAAGAGTTAATCTCCTTTCAAAAAAAAAAATCAGGGAAATCTTCTGCCAAACACCACTTTTATCTTAAGAATTTTATCAATCATGACTCTGATACCTCTATGGAAACAAAACCAGGAATCTAGGGCAAACCTAGTCTGATTTTACCTCTAGTCCCTTGATTTCTGTAACTTTCTTAAATGTAACTTCAGCCATAGCTACATGTGTTCGACAAAAAGTTTTGAGTTAACGTGAGTAGCATGACTTGGTGAAGACAAGAATGTGGAGGCAGAAAGGTGAGCTGGTCCATGTGTAATTAGTTACTCCACATCCTTCAGGGGAGGCACAGTTGGGGTGATGCATAGCTAATTTATAAGGTCCTCCAAAAAGAGGACCTTGACCCCTGTTGCTCTTCCTTTTCATAGGTCAGGTGTGAAAACAGCATTGGTTGGGAGGATATATGTTTTGGACTCAGCTGCCAGGTAGAATAAGCCATTAGTTGTTTAGGGAAGTAATAGGAGGTACCAGCTCCTCAGCTCCTGGAGACTTTGGGAACCTAAGTTCCCATGGTAAGTTAAGTTCTGATGCATCTTCTCCACCATCAGGATTGAGTCCACCTAGCTTGTTCCTAGAGAGTTTCAGAATCATCCACTGGAAAATATTGCTAGACTTAGAGACAGGCCATGTATTATATTGTTACTGGTATGGCAAAAGGGACTCACAGCCAGGTCAATTTCATAAGTAAGTACCAGTTACTATTGGTAACCATACATTATACTGATTTCTCTAGATAGGAAACAGGCTCAAAACTTTCGTTACCATCACCTAGTTCATAAGGAGCATCTTAAACAGCTTCTACCTTTCTGCCAGTTCAGCGGACATGAGGTACTGAACACCAAGGCAATCAGGCATAGGGTGTGGCCTGGCCATCAAAATGCAGATGAATGCTTAGTACTGAATTTTTCCTTAGCAAAAACAAAACATGTTAGTCTGATTGAATTCAATAACAAAGAGACTTCTTTCTATGGAAGTTAGATCCTTGCCCTCAACTCTGACATTTTTGGGAAGATTGTGAGTCTGAGTGATGGGTACTTGGCCCAAGTTTCCTGAGCTGCACCCTTTTGAAGTGCTAGCCTAACTTAGATTTCCTGCTTCTCTGGGAACAGCCCCACATAGGGGTGATTCTTCCAGGTGTGGGTGACCCCTGGCTAGCATAGACAATCAGATTCTTTCCCCCAGGTATTTGAAATCTGATCTGGAGACATAGTGAGGCTTGGAGTAAGTGGAGTTAAGGAGCATTAATGGCAACATTCTGATGAGATACTCATGAAGACCCTCAAAACCTTTATAGAAAATTTCCTACTTCTTTTGTTAATTTTTTTTGTTTAAATTAGCTAAATTTTGTTTCTGTTGTTTGAAACTAAAATAGCTATTCCAAACAGTCCTTTTGAGGGGCGGATTGGGGTCAAGGACATGCAAGTTACCCAGAGACTCTCACAATTACACAATATTATTTTTACCCACAGAGAATCCAGAAAGAGCTCATTGTTAAGTACCCCTTCTAATAATATCCTTCAGAATAGGTGGCTGATTGAATGCTTCCCATCTTCTTTCTAGGACAGGGACAATGAGGTGTAGGCAAGTAACAGCTCAGTGAATCTTTCAAACACTGGAAAACACAAGACATGACTGAAGTGGTATCTACTCTACTTATGATTCTAGTCATAATTATGCTTACTTCTCAAGCACTTTGTATATATTCAAGGCCTTTAATAAGGAGAAGAGTTCTTAGACACCTCAAGACCTCCAGATGTTTCTAAATAGTCATAGGTCATCCTTCTATAATGAGAAACAACAGGTGAGAGGGAATCAGAGGATACTTAAAATTTCTGCCAGTTTACCTAGACAATTCATCCAAACCCTCAACCAACTTTTTGATACAAAAGTCTAGAAGAAGCAATTTTATTTTGCCACACCAAAGGTTCATTAAATTAGTGGCAATTAAGACTATACAAAGGTTTAATTATTTTGCTTGTATCCCTTATTCCTGGGTGTAATGCCTAATTGAAGTATATACCATAAGAAAAAAAGAGGAGAAAAAGATTGATGAAGTTTTTCAATGGCTGCTTAAACTGAAGAATTTTATAAAGAACCTTAATCACAGTTAACATTTGAGCACACACAGTGCCAAGCACTGTGCTGGAGACTTCCAATGCACCATTTCCTAATCCTGGAAGCCACCCAATGAGATAAGTGCTGTTATTATTCCTTTTACAGATGAGAAAATGGAAGCTTACAGAGGTTTAGTAACTTATCCAAGGTCCCATAGAGAGTGAATGCAGGAGAGCCTGGGTTGGAATCCATGTCCGTTGAACACCAAACCTGTGTTCGCAAGTCTTATTACAGCTTCCAGATCACCAGTTACAGTTACTTTCAAACTGTGATCCTCAAAGCCATAGATATCCTTTAAAGGTTCCTGGAAGTCATGGAAGGTTAACAGTCAGCACTTCAGGTCCCCATTTGGGTAGCAATTCTGCATTAGACTTCATCTGAAGAAAGGACTTCACTCTTTAAAAATGTATAAAAAAGTACTAATCTAATCAAGTGCCCTCATTTGACCTGAGGGCCCAGAGTATTTCAGACATGTAGTTAATCATTGGTCAATCTGAAACAAGAATATAAGCATCCTCACCCTTTTCTTGCTTTCTCTTCCACAGAGTTATTCCAGGTAACACTAACTCCGTTTGCTAGGATGATTTCAGTTTCGGGTAAGAGAAAACATTACTCTTAATCTTTTCATCAGTAAAAGGGGATATATTGACTCAAGTAACTTAATAGTCCTAAGTAATCCAATTGATTGGTTTGTGGCTTGATCCAGCAGTGTGATCTAGAACTGTGAATAGGATTCTGGTTGTTTATACAAGTTTTCTCAGCTCTAGCCTCCATATTTTTGCTTTTGCCTCACCCTTATTTCTTTCAGAATAGCATTAATGGCTACTGCAGTTATGGAATCTGTCCCCTCACTATGCAGTCCACTGGGAAAAAAGAGCCTCTTCCTTAGCTCCTTATGACAAGCAGGTCAACTCCTTTCTCGTAATTCTCCAGCAAAAATCTCTTCACGTTTCATTGGCCTGAGTGAGGTCCTAAACCAGTGACCATGACCAGGGGCAATCAGATGCTCTGATTGGCCTAACCTACCCAAATCACAGGGCCAGTTCCAGTGGAGGAAATTAAGTATCCACCTGCTAGAAGACAAGAGGCATCAATGACAGAGACAACTGATTTCTCTCCACATACTCAAGTATATGCTCTGAGAGGCTGAAGCTGTAGCTAATAAGCGAGAAGAATAGGAGTAGCACTTTCTAGGAATGACAGCAGTAGGCAGGCTGGATCACCAGTAATCCATCCAGCCTACTGAGGAGACTCCCACCGGTAGTGAGTAAACCACCAGGCTCAGGCTGAGCCAGGCAGGAAGGTGGATGGCTGTACCTCAGTCTGGCAGATGAAGAGCACTGGGTCTCCTTAGAATAGGGATTGACATACTATGGCCCATGGCCCACGGGCCAAAAACGGCCCCCAGCCTATTTCTATATGACCCACAATTTAAGAATGTTTTTTTTTAATGACTAAACCATTTAAGAATACTATTTCATGACAAAACTATATCAAATTCAAATACAGCCATCCGTGGTATCCATGGAGGGACTGGTTTCAGGACAGCCCCCTCCAAGATACCGAAATCCAGGGATACTCAAGTTCCTTATATGACATGCAGAGTATCCATGTGCCTCAATAAAGTTTGATCAAAATGCAGCCACTCATTTACCTATGTATTGTCCAGGGTTGCTTTTGAAACATTTACTGTCTGGCACTTTATAGAAAAAGTTTGCCAACCCAGATATAGAACATTGGTGCTTAAAGTGTGAGTCCTGACTAGCAGCATCATTACCATCTGGAAACTTGTTAGAAATGCTAAGTCTTGGGCTCACTCAGATTTTTGAATCAGAAATGCTGGGAATGGAGCCCAGCAATCTGTTTTTTAACAAGTTTTCTAGGTGACTCTGATGCAAGCTAAAGTTTGAGAACCACTGTTCTAGAAAGATGTTAAGATCAAAAAGATCTAAAGTTGGAACCCCAACGAGAAAGGCACTGTGGTGTGTTTTATGATACAAGGCACTGAACTTAGTAATAAAAACACCAATACTAATAATTGTAATGTTTTTGGCAAACGAGTATATCAGCCATTATGGTTTACATTCTGATCTTATTAAAACCTCACAAAAAGTCTGGAGTAGTTACTATTATTATCCCCATTTTGAGTCTAAATATATGAAGGCTTCAGGAGATTAAATCACTAGTCACAGTCTAACAGGTGGTTTGAGGCTGAGACTAAGAGGGTTTGACACCAGGGTCAGACCTCTTCATGTCATATATCTCTGCATTCTGTAAGCTAGATAAATGGGAATGTCACTGAAAAAAGTGACACAAGAATACCCTTAGTTTTCAAGTCAGTGGTAGACATTCATATAAAGTAAGAGGCACTTCTAACTCCATTTTCTTTCCACGGAGACTAGTTTCAACTATACTAGACACATAGCCTTTTCTTGAGTAAATCTAGAGGAAACCACCACCATTTTGTGACCGCCTATTACAATCTATTTTTCTGTCTTTTTACCTTTCACATAAGTTTTAAAAGTAAAATTTCCCCTCTTTTTCATTTTCAGATGCTTGAGAGTGTTATGGAATCCAAGCTTGTACTGCTCACCACATAACAGGACAATAAATTGAGAGATGAAATTTTGGGGCAAGGAATAACAACTTTATTCAGAAAGCCAGTTGACCAAGAAGATGGTGGATTAGTGCCCCAAAGTACCATCTTGCCTGAGTCAGAAGTCAGGCTCCTTTTATACTACAAGGGGAGGGAGGAAAGTCAAACACTTCCTGGTTCCGGTCAGCCTCAGGAGGGGGGCGTGTCAATTTCTTCCTTCCTGCAATTACTCACAGGTGGGCCTGGTCACGATGTTCCCTGTGAGCTAAACAAAGGTATTTTTAGCTTAAGGCTCATTACCTAGGAGGCAGGGTTCCCAGAGATAAGCCATTATATATAATTTATGCTTATAGGCAGCATCCCTTTAGTGATGAACTTGTAGCAAAAGTAACAGAATACAAAGAAATAGATCCAATAAGGAGTCAGATTTGTTGTTTCCTATTACAATTCCCCACTGTCAATGTCGACTCCACAATCTTGAGGGGAAAAGGGGTGACAACTTCCTGCTGAAAGGAGGCAATTAGAGGGTGATGGTGGAATGGCATCATCAGCTTCAGATGGGGAATATTCCTTAGAATCTTTAGCAAGTAGTATAATCCTCTTTCCTTCTTTACTACAACTATTTGAACCTGATGAAACCTCTTAGCACTTTGTTGAACTTGGGGTTTTGGTTCCAGTTTTCAGTACTTATCTATTAATTTTACCTTTCCGACTATGCCATAATTATACTAGATTCCTGTGCTATTTATTTGGCAGAGGCCTTAGGATCTGCAGTTCTGTAACGTTTGAGGCTTAGTAAACCCTTTCCAAAAACTCGGAGAGGTCTTCATTTTTTTTTCTTTTATTTTTCTTTTTGCTGGATTTCTTGAATTTTTGTTCAAACTCTCTGCTTTGGTTCCCCTTTTCAAAGCTGTGCCAAGACGCACTAATAAGTAGTGCCCTAATAAGGGCACTCCTCCTTCAGTGGGAGGGTCCCAGTTTGGTTCAGGTTTGAGTAATGTGAAGTAGGCTTCAGGTGTCAAGAATCCTCCCTGTAAGGAGGGTTGTAATCTTTCCAATTAAACAAGCCTGAGGAACCCAACTGGCTGGTCATAGTCCTCTATGAGTTAACAGTGTAAGGGAGATTGCCCTGCTCTGAGAATGGTTTCCGCCCCAAACTGGTGCCCTGTTAGGTCGCAGATGTCAATAACCAGACCAAGCCTTGCGCCCCAGAAACTAACACAGGATTTTCTAATTGATCCCAGTAAGGGGGAAGTCTTGAGCCCCAGTGTCAGGAATTAGGACTGGATAGAAGTGGAAGGTGGTGGAAGGGGTGAATATATTGGTATAATGGCTTGGACATCCAGCTCAGCCAGAAAAGTTAAGGTTTGAAGCAACACATCCTCAGTCTAGTTCCCTTCGTTTTCTAATCTTCCCTGATGTAATAGCACAAGTGCTTGCATGTAAAGGATCTTCTCTTCCTCAAAGAATAGCTATAAAGCCATTCGAAAGCCACTATAAACCCATAAATAGCAATTGATCATCTCTCATCATTAAAAGGGTGCGTTTTTGCTATGGCATCAACCCACTGGGCTAATTACTGGGCTGGGTCTTTTTTGTGATTTTAGAAACCAAGTGGAACCTTTCTCTTCTCCCTGGGCAAGTCCTTCTCTCACACAAGAAGAAACAGTTTTTTGGGGTTTTTTTTTTTCCTGTTTCTTTCCTCCATTTGACATCAGTAAAAGATCTAAGTGTCACAAAACTGATTTGACTGTAAATGGAGAAATAGTACCAAAACAAAATGAAATGGAAACCCAAAGGACAAACAGAAATCCCGAAATAAACCCTTAAGTTTGGTCTTGGGGTTTTATATATACCAACAACACAAGGGACCACAAACAACCTAATTAACACATCAAGAATGGCATTACATGGTACACAGAATTCTAACCCTGCCTAAACCCCTTGTCGAGATCGTAACAGGTACTGTGGCCACACGTTGTTACAAGAAAATATCATCTTCCTTTCAGTCATAAGGTCATAGCTATAATCAGATCACTTATCCAACATGTGTCTCAGAGGACTTTCTTTAGGGATAGTTGAAACATTCCCCATTTTTTAAAGACAGAAATATAGAGCACAAACAATGCACACAAATGCTAGCATCCAAAGAAAAACAAACCAGTTCTCAAATCAGGTAAAAGTTCAGCAACTAGTTCCTCTCTCCAGCAGGGTCCCTTACTCAAATACAAAACAAATGGACATATTCTGGAAGAAAAAAGCCCCAGATGAGAGGAAACAAAGTTTCCGGCTGTACCCACTAGAGTGACTTACCCTACTGTATGGAGCCCGTCGACTCCTAGATCTCAATTCTTTGCTCCAATGGTCAAGCACTGGGGCAGCCGGTGCCGCTTTGGGAAACCTTGAACGGAAAACCTCAGGACAAGTGGTCCCAGCAGCTGCAAAGGCCTTACCGAAAAATTCCCCAACCAGGCCTCACTGGCCAGGAGCAGCAAGGCAGTTGGCTGGCTTTCCAAAATTTGTTACCCAGTCCAAGCTCGTACTGCTCACCACATAACAGGACAATAAATCTAGAGATGACTTGTTGGGGCAAGGAATAGCGGCTTTATTCAGAAAGCTAGCTGACCAAGCAGATGATGGACCAGTTCCCTTCCACCCCCTTCCACCCCAAGAACCATCTTGCCTGAGTCACAAGTCAGGCTCCTTTTATACTAAAAGGGGAGGGAGGAAAGTCAAAACTTCCTGGTTCAGGTCAGCCTCAGGAGGGGGGGCGTGTCAATTTCTTCCTTCTTGCAATTAATCACAGGTGGGCCTGGTCAGGACATTCCCTTGTGAGCTAAACAAAGGTATTTTTAGCTTAAGGCTCATTACCTAGGAGGCAGGGTTCCCAGAGATAAGCCATTATGTATAATTTAAGCTTATAGGCAGCATCGCTTTAGTGATGAACTTGTAGCAAAAGCAATAGAATACAAAGGTTAAAGCAAAAGAAATAGATCCGATAGGGAATCAGATTTGTTCTTTCCTATTACAGGAGTCTTTGACTTTTGCTTTACCATTATAGACAGTAATTACTCATGATTTTGTTGTTTTCCATGTAATTGTGAGGATAGTTTATTTTGGTCTACTTTTACATGACATTGCAAGTTTTCTTTTTTTCTTTTTCTGGTTCATAAGGCTAAGCAAAAAGGGAAGAATATATGGGATGTGGGAGGTGGGGGACAGATGAGGACTAAACTAACACCAGGAGAAGTAGAAGTAGAAAAACAAAACAAAACAAAAAAGATTCTCGGTACTGCAGGATGTCATGTGTCAGCAAAAGACACCTAATACCAGGGATTTGACCTTTTTATATTAGAAAAACAAAACCATGTTGAGATGTGAGAGACACTTGAAAGGTACAACTTGAATTGTGAACAACGTTTTCCATATGGTGCACATGTCATCTGTAATATTACAGGTTTCCAGTTCACTCCTCAATGAAATTCATATTTCTGGTTTAAAGTTCCACTCTTTATGATTAGAAATTATAGTTCTGCACATCTTAACAAATGCTTTGAAAAAATATGGAAATGTTCAAAAATTAATTTTTATTATATTTTATAGAGAGTTCTACTAAGATCCAGCAATGATTTCTGAAGAATGAAAATGGTAGGGTTAATCTGTACAACTCTAATCAAGCAATTGATCTACAAGACCAAGGGCAAATTAGAGAACATTTTGCTTTGTATGGCAAAGTTTCTGATTCTGTTCATTAAATATACTGAACCAACTATATGTGGAGAATGTCACACAGTAGTGGCTGACTTTATGCAGGTAATCATCAATTGATGGATTGGTCTAGAACATTAGAAAAAAATACAGCCTCATTATATAGCAAGTTCTTGCAAAGAAGGAGAATGAACTAGATTAATAATTTTTACATTTCCTTGGGTCATCAATCTTTTAGGAAAGCTGACAAAACCTAAGGATCCTCTTCCTAAAAGTATGCACATACCTATGAACAATTATGCTTCTATATTCAGGAGGCTATGAACTCGGGTTAACAAATTAAACACTATATAGGGTTTGGGGGGTCTCTTCTGACTAAAAACTTCTTAGATGATGTGATTTCATTTTTTCAGTCATCTGAGCTAACATCAGTCAGGATCAGCTGACAGTTCATCTTACAGCTCACAGTACTCTGGGGAATGGGGATATGGATGACCTCGGTGGAAAGCCACTGAAATCCACTTCCCTATGGACATAATGCTGGTAATTTTCAGGACATTTTGCACTTCCAATTAATCTCATCTTTTAGTTTCTTATACAAGAGGTGGTTGATTAGAAGTAATTAATTAACTGAGCTTGGTTTTCCTGTGCTCCTGTAACACTGGATTTCTGACTGTAGCTTCAGAAGATTCATGTTATGAGTTTTATCAGTTGTATCTTCAGTCCACAGAGATTTATAGCCCTGTAAAGTTATCAGACTTAAATCCCTTCTGCACTGTGCCATAGGGAAAACTTGGTTCATCACGTACACTTCACCTTAGTAGAGAGGAAAAAACAAACAAACAAACAAAAAAAGTGACAATGATATTCAAGGAGATTTGGTTTATTTGGAGATGAACAGCATCCTGGCACTTGGTGCTAATTATCTGATACTTGAACTACTTTGGTTTCTGAAGGAGTGGTTTGTTTTGTTTTGTTTTGTTCTTGTTGCTGCTTAGTCTTTGTTTTCTATATGAGGAGCTTTCCTTCAGAAATATTCTGAAAGGAAAAAAAAAGGTATTGGAAAAGTGTAGAGCACGTTGGGGAAATAAATGGTGTAATTATGTATGACACTGAAGTAAATGAAGGCTTTCCTCTTTCCAGTCTTGCTTCCTTCTAATGACTCTGATAAGTGAAGTGTTAGGTTTTATTAAATAGAGCAGAACTGAACTCACTGGAGATGAAAGGAGCTATTGAGATTCATACCTGCTGGAATAGAAGGAGTCTCCTTCCTTTTGTAGCTGGTGGATAGGCCCATAATGAGCACATTTTATAGCTGGGGAGAAAGAAAAAGAAGATGAAAGAAAAATCTTTTGAAGACTAAGGGAAAAAAAGGGGAAATCCCACTAATATCGTGAAACCCTTAAATTGGTTTTCTAAGAGACAGAAAAAATACTATTTAAAGGTCACGTCGGCCGTTTGAATTAGTTTGGCTTTAAGAAGATAAATATTGTGTATAGGAATATAAGAATGTCTGCGAGAAACCACTTTCATACAGTGAACAAAGGAATCATCCCTAATATGTGGTTAACTGATGTTCCCTGTTCACCACAAATGCTGGCTTTCAAATCCTTCAAGTGAAGGGGCTCTTTATTAATTGGCTCAAGCATCCCCTAGGACTTCTAAGAGATTAAGGCCACAGGATGCTTCAAGGTTCTTCCTTTCTTGAAAAAAAAAATGAATACAGTGTTAAAACATGGCGACTGCAAGAATATTGTCATCTATTTTAAATTACAGAATTAACCTATTGTTAGTATTCAAAAACTTCTCTGCAACATGCCAGATCAGCTCACTGTTGATTCAATAACGATTTTATTTTCCTCTTGTACCTTCAAAAAAAAAGCCAATTAAATTTGGCTTTTAAACCCAAATAGAGTCTGTGACTTTAAATGCAAATCACCAAATTGTTCCTGAGGCCAGTGAAAAGAAGGCTTGCATCCATCATGCTGTTATTGAAAATGAATTTTAACCCCTTAGGCTGACAACAAACACAAAGCCAGATTGCCAAAAACAGAAGCTAGGGGCTCTGTTAGAATAAGACCTACCATTTCCAATAAAAACAGAGTGCTGCAATCATGCCACAGTGAATGGGACTTGGTGTTGAAATTACAGATCTGATCTAGATAAGACTGAGGGTGAAAAACTAGGGAAGCTATGAATGACTGTTCGTTGGGTAGCAGTAATTCAAGGAGCCTCTTACACTGCTGAGGCAGCCGATGTTTCATAAACCCTACCTCCCACACACACTCCAATCCATTGATTATCTCAGGTTTGGAATGACTGATGCTCATTTGGCTCGAGGGAACCACCCTGAGATCTGACAGGAAATGGTGGATTGTTTATTTTTTAATTAGAAAACCAACTGAGCTCCATGAGAATCCATGTATATAAAATTGGACCTTACCTTAGAAGCCACCCTCCAAGCAAGGACTCTTAAATCGCGTCCTGCTTATTATAATGTTTCTATTTAGAACTGTATACTTTATCACTGGCTCTACAATTCTTTAAATGAATCATTCCCTGTCTCCTCTTAGTTACTGCTAATGGCTCAATTCTTCCACACTGTTAATGGTTCATAGTGGGGGCTTGTTCAGGGGGCTGTGTGTCTGCACTGTCCCAGCCATCACCAGTCCTGCTCTCTCTGAAATATGGCTGGGTGCCCAGGGAATGAACTAGCTACTGCCTGGTAGAGAGGAGAATCAAAGACTGGCACTTGGCAGGGACCCCGCTCTTGCAGCTGCTGCCTGCTAAATTATTGCTGATGTGCTTCTCCAGCCGCGCACAGCAGGGCTGGCCTAACGCAGCAAGGAGCGCCCTCCTCCACCCCCTCCTCTGGCCCTAAACACAGGACTTGGGTTTCAGAGCTGGAATAAAGGGGGCACACTGAGCTGGTTCTGCCCGAGGCACAACAGCAAGCATGTCTGTCCTGCACAGATGCTGAAATGCACGGGACACATTTCCTGCTCTTCACATGTGTCAGAACCTGTCTAGACTCCCACCGTGAGCCTCCTGTGATTGCTTCAGAAGCTTGGTAGGTTTTGCATGGGTATATGAGTCAATTACATTGAACTCCTGAGGCAGAGTAACGCCATTCAGACAGAGCTTTCATAATGTCAAGGAAGAAAGGTCTCAGCGGGAGACACAGTGAAAGGGTAGAAGCCACTTTTCTTCCCTTTGCTTCAAGAAAAGAATCAGGGTCAATCAACGTGAGCTTCGCCAGTGGGTTTTTTTAAACTTGGCACTACGTGTTCTGTAGACTCCCTGAATACTTGTTAGATGTGTCTGCTGAGGATGATATTTGGAAAAGAGACAGGGGCGGTTCCTAGAAAGAACCCAGGGTCACAGAGCCCCAGTCCAGGACCCCCCGCATGACTGTATGCCTGCAAATGACTGGGGCTTTCTGTGCCTCTGTTTTCTCATCTGGCTCCTACATGTGTAGATACATAGATTGCTAGTCCTGGTTACTGACTACAGTGTTTAGGATGAATCTCCTGTGATGCCAATACAGATGGCATTGCATGTATAGGATAGCTATGTTATAAATTATAACATCAATTATACTTTTATGCTGTCCCCTTCCCACATCTCATGCTCAATTCTACCCATCAGAGTGGGGCAAACTCCACACTAAATCCTTTTTTCCAAGGCTCTTACATGAAAAAAACAGGGCCGCCTCCCTTTTTGGATAATTTCCTTCTAAGAGCCATTTGGAGCAGAGGGCGACCATAGTTACTGGCAATTGATTTACCTTACTTATCTTGATAAGCTTTAATTACACTTAGAAATTTTATGATCAGATCTACCTACGTTGCTGTGTCAAACTGAAACATTCTGTCTGGCTTTTCTTTCTTCTGAAGATACAATGTACTCAAGGGAGTATAATTTAAAAACCAAAATTTTGTTAAAATAAAAA